TAATCTTGGCGTTTTATGCGCGTTTCTAGGTCTTTTCCGGTGTGTCAGAATCGCAACCGGACAGTACATATTTAGATTTTCGTTCTCAGACGAAAGACCTTTTCGATCCATATATATCATTGTGGGGTCTTAAAACATAAAGTACTAATTTAAACTTACGAGTCATCTCAAAAACGGAAGTGGAAATTTTTGTACCAATAGGTATATATCTGGCAGATCTCATACGTATTACACTTAATTAATATTCCGAAAAAATATTTTAATTATCTATTATGGTTTTAGTAAGGAAAGTGGTGGACAAGAAAAGGGCTTAGCGGATTTCTAGTATAAAAAGCTAGTAAATACACGAATTTTAATATTTTAACCATAGATGAAATTGTAAGACTTACTATGTTTTATCCTAGGTTATTATTACTAAATTATATATTTGACTATAACACACACATATTTTTTTGTTTTATTGTAGGGATTTGCCTCAATATGGCCATAAACAGTGGCAAGCATACTTTGGCAGAACTTTTGATATTTACACAAAATTATGGAAATTTCAACAGCAGCATCGTCAAATTCTAGATACAAAATACGGGTTAAAACGGTGGCAGATAGGGGAAATAGCGTCCAAAATTGGTCAACTGTATTATCATTATTAGTAAGTATACGTGTTAATATAAATATATATGGTTATTCACAAGGAAATTGAATTCCTGTAGATGGTGTGTATACGATTTATCACAAAAAAAGTTTATTTAAAAATTCCTTTATAAAAGGTATATTAATATAAAAACCCTATCGGACTATATCACATAACGTTTTCGAAATAACTATTCCATCATTAGTGCTATCTGGATTTACATGTTTGAATCAACTGATTATGGCTTCGACCTCACAGACAATTCGATCTAAGGACTAGCAACCCCAGTGAAGTCCTACGTTTACCATGTGACAAATTCCGTTTATAAACATTATTAAAATTCTAGTTTTTTAATATCAAGAGGATTAACATAAAGTTAATCTAACTACATTTAAAAGGGTTTTTTACCCCAAATTTAGTGGCTTCAATCATGTAAATCGAGACAGCACTGATGATGGAATAGTAATTCCGAAAACTTTCGTTGATGTAGCCCGATAGGATTTTTATATTAATATACCTTTTACACAGAATTTTGTAATAAAAATTTATGGAAATATAATATAAATAATATATATATAATATATAGATATATATAATATTATAGGTATCGATTTAGAAGCAGTTCGTTTTTTTCTTTATGAGATTTCTGACATTTTTATACTGTTATGATATACCTACGTGATTTATTCCATTTTTTGTGATACCACTTAATATGTTAACTTAGAAAATTCCAATCAATAAAACTGATGATTCAATCATTTTAATGAAATCTTTTGTCCAATAATTTAATTCTCATTAATTCATCAATAATCATGTAGCCTCGAACGTCTCCTCCTGAATATAATATCTTTCTTATTTTCAAACTTCTATCTCTTTTGCACCGCTTCCATCCAGTTTTTGTTTAAAATAGTCGACCTATCGTGTGGTGGTCATTCTATACTTCGTTTAGTTTTCTTTATCCATCGGCTATCTACCATTCTCATTATGTATCCTAACCCCCGTTTCCAAGTTATTTCCAGCATGAATCCTTCCAAACTTCTCCATTTAGAAGCTAAATTAGTACAGATATAATGCCCTGATAAACCGTTTTCGTTTTCAAATATTGTTTCTTCAAAACATATGCAATACTATACACATCGCACCCTCAGAGCAAGACTGCAGTAACTCAAAATTTTATGAAAATGAAGTAATTATGGAATTCGATTGTAAACATGCATATCTGATCCCCTGTAAAACTTTAGTAACTTTCCAAATGCTTAACCGGCTAAATATTACAACAACAACACAGTTTAACTATTTTGCGTTTTTGTACATAAGTTCCGTGCAAAAACTTGTAATTCTAATATAACAGAGTTACAACAGTTTTGCACTTAACATTGCAATGGTTTCGATATAGTAGCAATGAAAGGCAGCAGAAAAAATAGTAAGATATTTTGTTATTAAATATAATATATATCATATATAATCTGTCGTGGTTAATTTTAATATACAGCGTGTCTACGTAATCCAGGCCAGACACAAAACGCTGCTGGTGACAACATGCACTCAGTAATAGGGCCGGCAAAAGAAAGAGTCTGAAGAGCGGTCCAATTTATGTTGCTACTCAATGGGCAACTATAGTGAAATGTAGCAAAAAAAGTGGTTCACCCTACATAGTCCGGGAAATGGAAAACAAAGGACTTCATTGATTTTAAAACATGTTTTCCTTTCTGTTGGGAAACAACTATAAAATTGATCAAAATAAAGAAAATGTGAAGTGGGACAGATATAAAAATTCTGCAATGTAGAAAAGATATACACGCACACAATTTTCTTTAATTACAACTATGATGACGAACTATAGAATTCTTTTAATCTAAAAAAATCATCACGGAGTACACATACTATACGAGAAGTGCACTGAAACTGTCCGCGGTGGGAACAAATAGCTGTCTAATAATCCTTCTATTGCTCTACGGGTGCTCTGTAGAGGGGCTTCGGAGACGTCAACGGATAAAGCAACCATATACTACCAAGTCTCATTTAGCTGGATATTAGACTTGTGAAAATTTTCTTCTGAAGAGCTCGCCTTTGAAAAACACGAGCTATTTCTTACATGACATACGAAGTTGTCGAAATAGGCATCTGGATTCTCAGATTCGTGAGACTTGCCTGATAAAGGCAAAGAATATTTCTTAACATGACTTAAATTAGTTAGTCGAAATAAAACACCAAATAGTGTGGAAATCAAATCTCAGCCACAGAGTTAAGTATATGGATAAGCTAAAAAGAGAGGCAGAGCCCCGAGAGCACGAAGCTCTCGGAGAGCCCGTTGAAGGACTGGACCTGGTAGACTGGAAAATTGCCGCCTATTTTTTATACACACTAAGTGTAGCGATAAACTAGGGATATCTTAGGTCAGGAACCAATAGGAAAAATGGGGGGGCGGGGCAATGCGTCGCGAGCGCGTACTAGTTCGCGCTTTTGAGGACAAAACCTGCCTACAAGAACCAGCCAAAAATTCGGATGGCCAAAAAGAAAGATTTGGTATACTTATGCCTATACGGGTAGGATACCAGAAGCCCACCATAGTTTTTATAAAAATATTTTGACCCAAGATCATATACGAGAAGAGGACAATACCTAAAAAATGTGTCCACATTTACAATTTTCTCCGTGCAAAAGTGTTGTAACTTTTTAACTTATTATTAACTTAATATTATTTTATTTAAATTTCTATTTTTGGTTAATGTAAATATAGCTAAAAAGCATGCAAAATCATAAATTAAATGTTAATTTTTCTTAAAACTTGTGTCTTATTTGACCGATATTAGCACAAATAAACAAAATCGTCTTTATCTCGAAAACTTACTTATTCTGACTTTACTGCAGTCTTGCACTGAGGGTGCGACATATTTAATAATCGTACTTGCTATGGCCACTTGCCTCAATCAAGTTTTTTTTTAAATATTTTAAAAATGAATTCAAATACTAATTTGTGCAAGAGCCTAGGTTGGGAATTGGCCTGTTCAATTAATCCTCTTCATTAATTCCTATTTCTAGCTTTCATTCTAGAGTTTCTAGTTTCTAGCTCTCCCTTGGGTCGCTTTTTTAACCATGTGTTGTTGGTTTGATTCCTGCTGAACTCCAAGCGTTCCTTCCACTACGAACCATCCATCTCAGTCTTTTAAGTTAAAATCAGCTTCACCACATTAGATTCTCAGTAAAGCTTCATATAATTCGAATTGTATCGTCTTTGTCAGTACCCTGGTTTCTGAACCATAGGTGGCAACTGGTCTGATCAGGTTTATATAAATCCGGCATTTAGTTTCCTTGGTAAATATGTCTGATTTTAGAGACATTTTGTATAATTTTTCACGCTTATGATAATTTGGATGGCTTCTCCAATGTTGGTTGGTATGTATTTGGTTTTATCAAAATTCACCTCGAGTTCTATCTTGGTGAATCTTTCTAAACAGGAGAATGACTTGAACAATGTTATCGTTGCGTGCAATCTATGTTTACATCATCTTCCTGTGCTATGATTCGTGCGTTCTTATCTACTATTGGATATACCATAATATTATTTGATGAATTTAGAATGTTCTCTTGTTCTTTTTGATGTTTTTATTGCATTCCATAAGATTTGTATTTTGTAGGTATTCATCTGTATTTCTCTATCTTTCTTTTTCTTGGCTGATATCAATTATTTTGCTGTCTAAAGTAATTATTTTTAGTTTTATATTTTTGTCAGATTTTCAGGTAATTTATAATTGCTTCTTCAGTGTTTCGAAGGAAAGATATTTCAAAATTTGCCGGAGGTGCCAGTGTCAAATGTTTCAAAGGTATCTCAATTCCCAATATTTTTTGAACTTTTGTAAATGATAAATGCTTTGTCAAATTTAACAGTGTAAAAAGACTTTATTAATTTAACATATTTTATAAATGTTTATCAACCTTTATGATTTCTTCAACTTCTTTACAGTATTTTTATATAACTGAACTTTCCATATGATTTTCCCTTTATGGGTATTCATCTGTATTTTTGTTTATTATTTTGATTGACTACCTAATACGACAGGTATCATGTATTTTGTATGTCTAAAATGATCGTTTCTAGCTTTTTATTTTGATAATGTACTCATTTCCGATATATTGTTTTGCAGATCCCGTCTTCGTTTAATTATTAAATATTTTTAGGTAAATAATAATGTGGAATAGACTTATGGCTACTACTGATTTAGACATCATGCCTAATTTTGTTTCTACCTAACTTTATTGCTTTGTTCCAATTATTTATGTTTTTTTTCTAAATTGGTTAATACTTTCTATACGATTATTTGTATATTAATGTCAATTTCTCTATGTCAATATAATTGTTTACTTTTAGCTTGAGAACTAGTGAAACTAATTATCTAAATGAAGCATACTCATTTTATGCTGCCATTCGCGGTCGTGCATATTATTCTAGAGCAGCAAAAGAAGATAGGTAAGGATTTTTTATGTATTACATACCACATACCATCTACCACTATGTAGAGGGGGTAACGAACTAGCTACATTATTTTAGACGTTACATAAGTTGACTTGAAGTATTGTAAGACAATGAATGCCACAATAGGGGATTTTCTGGAAGCAATAAAGTAATTAAGGAGATACATAACATCGAGATGAACCCATTGGTTGAAAAAAAATCATTAATGGGTTTTGGGTGGCAACTATTCAGAATATTGAAAGTAGTGTACTATTGTTAGTTAGACTATCTTTAAAATCATATAAAATCCTTGCACACAAGTTTTTACGAGGAATTTCAATTTTTTCACTAAGACGATTGTTTGGAAAATTTAATGCTGCTAAATCACGAGATGAAATTTTAATCTGTCAATGTTATTTATCCTAAGAAATGTCAAAGTTTACGAAAATTATATTTGTGGAAGTCGTGTAACTTCCGCTAGATGGCTCTGTCCAAAATTGTTAGTGTATGCCTCATATATAGAGTGGAACAGCCCAATGGAATAAATTCGATAATAAATAAATGGAGGCGTGTACAAAAAAGCACTCGGACACATCGATTGGTATTTTTAGTTGCGCGGTTTTTGCAATAAAATCTTCTCATACAGACAGTCATACGGTCTGTATGAGACAGTGGCCAACAGTGGCTAATACAACTTTCTTATTTCAAATACAACACCCTATATATTATTTAATTTTTGGATTCCTCAGAATACTCTTGACATATTTCATATACAATATTGTTTAACTTATGTTTAACAATTTCGTAAGTATTAAGTGTCTTCAGATATATTGCAAAAAGACCCAGTAAAGGAATTATTCGAGTACAGAAATTTCCTACAACGCATTGAAAATCTAATAAGTGATGCTGTTTACTTCGTGATAATGTAAAAAACAAAAAATATATTAAAGTGAATGTACATGTTCAAAATGCTCGCAGTGAACGTCTTGGCGACACCTTAATCTTAAATAGAAATTTCTTCTAATGTTACTTAGTATCTTAGGCGTTACCGATCTAATCGCAAGCGTTATTCGTCTTCTTAAATCAGCTCAGTCTATAAATATGTATGTCTATACAATATTTTTGACATATCATCATAAAAAGAAGTCTAATGATGTTAGATCAGGAAATCGTGCTGGCCATTCCATCGATCCTTGCCTCCCTATATACCCATTTGGAAATATTCGGTTGAGGAACAGCGGAACATTGATTCGAATTCCTGACAATACTCATTTCTAATATTCTTCAAGAATAACATATTCGGAATATAAGTTTTTCAAAGTTAGTATGACAATATTTTGGACTAAATAATTATCGCTCTTTAAATTGCCATCATTTGTTGAGAAAAATACGTTGGTATTATTTTATAGGAATGTATTCTATTTTGTTTTAATGTTCGCATAATCAATGAATGGTTACCATCAAACATTGGGGCTGTTTTTCGACTAGAAGTATGTGGGTTTTATTACTTATTGTATTGCAGCTACTTATTTATCTGCGTTGCATGTCCAAGTTCGCGAAACTGCTTTTTTATTTAATTAATTTTCCCTTGGAATACAGGCCGCAAATTTGGAAAGTTTCATGAAATTAGCGAGCAACATCCATTTGTGTTCATGTGTCTCATAACCATTCATCTGTAGAATTGTTTTTTTATGCATTTCTGTTAAACTTCTGCTAAGTACTTTCGCTTCCTAGAGAATCTTCAGGGGCATTTTGTTAAATTTTTGGCTATCCAACAATTGCAGAATGTATGCAGAATGAACTTGAAATTAAACATAAAATTGAACATAATAATAAACAAGGACAAAGAGTTATTAGACAAAATTATTTAAAAAAAATAGTGGAAGCTACATTCTAGTCGGCAGGAGAGAGAATGTTTATTGAATAAAGTTTATGATATTCTGCAATTGTTGGATAGCCCAAAATTTGACGAAATGCCCCTGAAGATGCTCTAGGAAGCGAAACTACTTGAGCAAGATTTAATTAATAAAACAGTGCACGATATCTGCCTTTTATTTTATTAAAGTTCATTTATTCGAGCATTCAACCTTATATCAATTTTATATAAAACTAACAACTACTGTCATGTAGACAGAAAACAATTTGATAAGGTCGGGCGTTTTAGATAAAGTAAACCAAAATATTTTTCTTTATCATATCAGTAAAAAGAAGCGCTGAAATAGTTTTTGCTTATTTTCATGGAAAATAAGCTACACTTAATATTTTCGAAACTGTTTAAGATCAGTATAGGCCAAAAATTAAATAATATACAGGATGTTGTATTTAAAATAAGAAAGTTGGTATTGGCCATTATTACATGGCCCTATATAAAAAGTTTTTATTGCAAAAAATCCGCTACTAAAAATACTAATCGACGTGTCTGAGCGTTTTATTTAAACCACCGCCCCTTATTTATTATCAAATTTATTCCACTTTTTCTAGTAGTGTTAGAGCTTTTTATTAAACCACCCCTTTCACAAATTTAAAGATTAAATTCAAAATTTATTGTTAAATATAGTTTCTCATTTTTTTACATGTTGTTTATCACTATTATAAACAATTTAAAAATTAACAAAAACGTTTTCACCTCGTCCAGAATGTCGGACAAGAAATACTTGGGGTCCAAATTAACGTTAACTTTTATATAATTTAGAACGATTTCCGAAGTAGAAATTGAAACGTCAATAAACATACTTTAACCTTTAATTGTGGCTTATTCCCATTTAAATATTAATAACTTTTATATAGTCTTAAACAATTGTTATTATCTTTTACCTGCCGATATACGATGGGTGTTCAATGTACTAAACCGGGTGATATACATGAGCGTCGTAAGAGGAGTTTATCCTTAAACCATGACAATATATTACACGGACCTGACGCAAGATCTAGGGATAGATGTTGCAAATGAGTTGGTCCTATTAATAACATCAACTAATGAAGATACACAGATATTAAATTGCATTTATACATCTCTGCATCTAGTTAAAGATCTTAGATTAGAACTGAGAGTAAGAGCACTGAGATGCTACGTGTTTTCGATACTGCAATATGGACTTGAAAGCTGGACATTGAAGCAAGAGCACATAATAAGTTACAGTCCTTTGAAATGTGGTGTTACAGGAGGATGCTTAGAATAGCATGGACACAGAAGAAAACTAACACGGAAGTATTGCGAGAAATGGGCAAAGAATGCGAAATAATAAACACAAGACAGAGATATGAACTGCTAAGGCTGATAATACAGGGAAAGATAAGAGGATAAAGGAGTATAGGAAGAAGGAGGGTGTGATTGTTGAAGAATTTAAGGGACTGGTTTAAAGTATGATAGAACTCTTCAGAGCAGCAGTAGATAAAGTAAAGATAGTGATGATGATATCCAACCTCCGATTGGGAGACGGCACTTAAAGAAGAAGCATCTAGTTAGTAGCATTGAAAATTGAAAAAAATTGAGTTTTAAATAATTAGAAGACAAAATCGAAGGTAAGAGGATGATAAAAAGAAAGAAAAAATCATGGCTGCGTAATATGAGAAATGGGGCTTGTAATGAACTATTTTGCTTACCCCAGGGTAAGAACATGGGGGAGAAATTGGGCAAACAAAATAATCGCTACTTGTGTGAACGGCACTCAGGGTTTGGTAGGAGAGCTGGGGTCGTGGATAAGTAAAAGATAAGGGGGTTAGATTGGGGCAACTACAAAAATGAAATAAAGCGGTCATTAATCTCTTGGGACAAACGAAATAAAAATAAACAGGAAACACTTCAAGGAATTTAATATAGGGCACCACTTGAGGTGCCTAATTATGCCTATTACAACCACTAGTTGTAACTAGGAAAATAATTATAAAACATCAAAACATGTCTTCTTCAAATAAAACTCAAAAAAGGGTTAGTTCAAAAAAATAAATAAAATGTTAAGAAAACAAAATTTAACATTTATTTTGGTCATTTTGTGTCATACCACAAACAGTTACAAAACATAGAGAACCAAGAATGTTCAAAAAATTATACAAAAATATTACCACGATAGTCGCAAAATACAAAAAACTTACATGCGTTCTACTAATTTACAAATTCAGGAGATGCTACAAAAACTTACTATGTTACTGACGTATAAACCATGGCAAATATAAAAATTATTACAAATAAAAAAATTTATCTTTTAAAACAATGAAAGCAATTATTATTTTAGCAAAAAAATGTCTGTCTTTACTTTGAAAATTCAACAAACAATAAAAAGATACCTGAATTTCACTCATAAACACGCACATAACTCCGAAACTTGCTACATCTCTGAGACTGGAGCTGCAAGGACGAAACTCTGGAACAAGGGGAACCATTTCCATACTCAGGAACAAAAGAAGACCATCTCCATAATTTGGAACGACGATCTGACGTAGATGGGCTGGATCAAACAAGAAAAACGACAACAAAGCTGTGGGACATCCTATATACAGCTTCAAAATTTCATCATGGTACTGGTATACTAAACAATTCGCTTTCACTGCTACATACTTTTACAAAAAGGGGCCAAAAACAGGAAAAATACAAATTCGACGGATGAATTTGCGGATCCATACTTGTGATCCACACAGCGAACTGCTCGGCGACCCAAGCATGAATGACGAACTTAAAAATTCGTTATATAACTTGAAAACAAACAAAACGCTGACATAACAAAACACACCGAAACAACGTAGAAGATTCCATTTGCGACGTATAAAAATTATAACGCGACTTCGAATAAAACATTAAAAGAAAATGCCGAGAAAGTATTTACACATCTTTAGAATAATAAACAACTCTCAAATGGTTTAATTACTTGGCGACGCTGAAAAGAACGAAATATTATTTGAGTTTCAAATTGAACGATACGAACGAAAGATACATTAAAAGATTTTTCAAACATATATGAGGAGATTTCAATATATTACATATACGAGGGGATTTCACTATACACCAAAAAATCAATGAATTGCAAATGCTACAGGCTAACATAGCAACGAATAAGCATTTAACTCCTTACAGTAAGTTTAGGAAACAGAAAAGTTTGACATATATTGGTCACCAACCTAAATCAAGGAGATACTTGGGAGGAGGTAGCATAGAGGTAGCATAAGTCAAAAATAAATTCAGTTATAGTCTTTGGTCTAGTAAAAGCACAATGCATTCGAAAGCTTTAAAAATATTTATAAAATATTAATTTAGTGTTTTTTGTTCTTTAAAAAGATTCTTTTTAGGTCTGAATTAATGGTTAAAAAGTTACGATACTATGCTCGATTCATAGTCGTTTGCCTTTTATTAAGACGAATGAAGTTAGTTAGAGAATTAATAGTAGAATTAGACAGACATATCGCCGATTACACGAGTACGTACGAGCCTGACGATCAGATCGAATGGAGTTTGGTCCTAGATGAAATCAAGGGATTTATTCAATCTGACTCTCTAGTACAAGTTCTACACGCCGATACTAATCCGATTGTTCTATCACATAGGTAAGAAGTTATAGTTTTTGCACGTGAGTGTATTTGGTGTACGTGACATTTTAGATACTAGAGAATCTGAATCGCTGAAGAAATTGCTTACGGGCATTGTTTTTATCATTTTTAGTTTATTTGTCATTTTTTAAAGGGCTAAAGTTTAAAATAAGCCTTAATAACGATTAAAAGGGCAGCCAGTGAAGCTATGAAATTAGATATTGAAAATTTTGTCACCGTTTTGTGTTACTCGTTATATTATTGTGTGAGTTGAATAATAACCAAGGACGTGTGTTGCACAAAATCATGAAATCTGCGAAAAAAGTTGTTTACACATAATGAATATTATTTAAATATCTACAAATCTTCTTCTTAAGTGCCGTGCATTTTTGGCAGCATTTAGAAGCTGTTTATAACTGTAGATTCCTGTTCATTGGCGAATATTACGCAGTCATAGCATTTTTTACGTCTTAAATCTCTCTTACCCACTATCTTTCCTTCTAGTACTAGTTACTGAAAAGGTTATTGCTCTCCTCGTAATATGTGCCTAAATATGCAGCCTTTTTCCTTTGTACATAATCAAAAAATTCCCTATCCTGGAGGCCAGCTCGTCTTAATACTTCTTAATTTCTGACTCTGTCCTCTAATTTATTGTTCTTATTTAATTACAAAGGTTCTATATTTATAACACTTACAAACTTAATTTAAAGTTTATTTATAATAATTTATCTTACAATAATAATTTATTATTACGATCGTTACATTTAAATACCCGTCGCGAATTTCTTTTCTGACTGCCTGTTTTCTCCAAAAGGGTCCCGGTATATACCAATACCGTTAGACTAGAAAAGTCGATCGCCTTCTCGTCTGATATAGAATATAAACATGTTTTTCCTAGGGTCGGGCGCTGGCTGCATTCTTGTTACCTGAAGTTTTTATTCGAATCCTTCTGGAGAGTTCGGTAGTATATGACCTAGAAAATACGTGAATCATTAGAATATTAGTAATAAATATGTTTACGGTTTTGGGTCAGAATTTATCGTAACAATATAATAAGTATCTCGCTTAGTTTGTAAAATGACAGAGTAGGCGGACTGTAGCTGCTAGAATTTTTTGGATCTTCCTCTGATTTTAGTAAAAATATTATTTTAAATTTTTTCTTCAATATTTTGGAATTAGAAAGATATCTTCTTATGGATTTTTTGGACTTGCGGAGCATTGCGAGAATATATTTTTGTCTATACTTCTTGAGTAGACCTTTCCTAGATGAATACTTTATTGTTTCTACACATTGTGAGTAATTTTGTATCTTTTTTATCTTGATTTCAGATGTAGTATCTCAAAATCATAAGTAGCGGCATATTTTTCCCAATTTGCCTTCTTAAATTTAACTTCTTAATGGGGTAGTATATGATTTGACTATTGAATAAATATTTATACCTAGCTAAGTTTTTGATATAGACCTATACAATTTTTCGGTGCATCAATATTCGGCTAACTGCATTTGAAAGATGATATCGGAGTTGCCCACTATTTCCAAACTTTACTCTAAAAGGATGATAAAAGTTTTGGGCTCATAATTATTGTTTCAATACAGGCTGATAGGTGAGACTATAAAGGGCTGACTTGTGGGCTGTAACAGCTGTAAGAGGTGGATTGTATAATACTATTTATCTCGTAGAGAAGTTAATGTCTTTCCGTTCGATTTTTAGTAGATTAATTATAAATTGTTTATGTACTAGAATTCAGGACTTTTCTTTTAAAAAATTATATATTATTCATGTACTGTAATTTCTAATCTGTAACTTATCTTATTATTTTTAGATTGAGCCCTTTAACAACACCGCCTGTAGAAAAATCACAATACATGAATTTAACACTACAAGAAATTCTGATAATAGGAAGTGCATCGGAACAAGTTAAATTCTCAGAACTGACAATGGATATGTTCCGAATGATTCAAACGCTAGAGAGGGAGCCTCAAGAAGATTTCAATCATATTTATGACGCTTCTCCAGCTCCAGGAAGGGTACCGTATGGGATAAACCCGCCAAAAGGGTTAGTAATACTGTTAAGTTTGAGTTTAGTTCATATCTCTCAGTTCAGTCTATCAGCTAAAACAGTTCAGTCTATCTGTTAAAATATCACAAAGTATTGGCAAATCTGCGTTTGATTGTATTTAAAAGTCGTAAAATAGAAATGAATGGCATTAAAGAAAATGTCACATAGAAATATATACCTACAGCATATGGTACGATGTCCGTACGGAAAAGAAAGAGTACGAAGAAGAAAAATATCTTAATTCCATCACTAATATTATGTTATTATAAAGACAAATTCCATTGTATGCAATAAGCCAAAATTTATGCGTTTTATAGATTTGGAAAAATCTTTTGTTTTGATCGTATAGACAAATAATTTAACACGAACCAGCACAGAATTTCATTTTCGACTTGGCCAACCAAAATAGCGTGGCCACCGATTATGGAACGATACTTCCATAGCTTCCATATCAACATAGCTATCAGCTATGTTGATATGGCAACAGCGCTTTCCATAAGAGAATTTGTGTTATAGTGTGGGGGAAATTTAGTTTATCCCAACATCTGGGGAAATTTGAAAAAAATTCTAAGGTTCATTCTAGTCATTTTTTGAGTGTTTTGTGGTGGAGGTAGAATATAGTGGTTTGTCAATTCGTGACGTATGATACATAATTGGAAAGGAGAGGGGATAGCAAATATGATTAGATAGAAAAAATACATGATACTATAACAAAACAAGATAAGTCAACGCGCATGTTCTTGTGACGTAAGCCTGAGACAAGTTGTCAAAATGCCAAATTGACAAAATTAATGACAGCAAGTTAAACTTTAAAATTAAATTAAATGTTTCATTTGATGCAATTCTAGTTATATAAATAAAAAGAATTAATATTAATAACAGCAGAGAATTAATATATCAATATTATAACAGCAGAGTAAATGTTTCTATGGATAATAATAAATGTTTCTATAGATAATAACATGATACTATGACTATAAGATAAGATATTGCGCATGTTTTTGTGACGTCATTGGAGAGTTACACGTTCGAAATGTCAGTTTTTTGTATATGTCAATAAATAATCTTTAATAAATAGTTTGGAGATATCCTTGTGTACGATTATTGTAATCATTAAACCTCTTAACTTATTTTCGTCTAGTAATTTCATCACAGAATGCATACAAATCTCATTTAACTTTAACAAAATTTCAAATTCTACTCTCCAATGACGGCATGCGCGAACCCGACCGAATTTGAGCTACGGGAAGATCCTATCTTGTTATTCATAGTATCATGGATAATAATATATACTAATGCCCATTTTAATAGAACTTGAAGTAATACTTTATTTTTGATAGGTCTTTAAAAAAAGTTACTTTGGATGTATTTAGTGAACTGGAACATATTTTTGGTAGTTATAATGGCGACACATTAAAAATAACACAAAATTGTTTAAAAAGCTTAATAGAAGCTGCAAAATATGTTACTATTAGCGAAGATGTAAAATTACTTTTTTTTAGATGTAAAATGTATTTTAAAATACAAATTCTAAATCAAAATATTAAAGATATTTACAATACTACAAAAGAAAAATCACAAAGATTGTAAAATAAATGTCTAATAATATTCATAAAGTCTCAAGTTTGACCCGCTTCCTTTATGGTCAAATTCTTTACATTTTGCCGGCCTTTTATATTTAATTTATGTTGTTGTAACAATATTTATTTTGTTTGTAATACACACAATCAAATCGTAGATTCATATATTTTCTTTAATTATTTTTTCTACTCTCTTACTAGTAAATTGTATATTACCTACTATTTGGATGCTAAGAAAATGCATCATAACAGATACTGACACGTAATGACTAGCACGTAATAAAAAAAATTACGCTTCAGTTTTATAATAGTATATTACATAACGAGAGTTGTAAGAAGCTTATTACATGCGAGTAAAAAAGTTGCGCGCGAGCCGCGTAGCGGCGAGCGCAGTAATTTTACAAGCATGTAATAAGCTTACAACTCAAGTCGTGTACTATACTTTTTCTACCATTATTTTCGTTTATAAAAATAAAAATTAAATTACCACTATATTTACACTGACAGATTAATGATTTTTAATCTGTCAAAATAACGTCTGTTAATTCGTTTCCATGGTAACTCGACCAACTGACTTACAAGGCTTATGTGATATTACACATTTTTATAAAACTGAAGCGTAATTTTTTTTATTACGTGCTAGTCATTACGTGTCAGTATCTGTTATGATGCATTTACTTAGCATTCAAATAGTAGGTAATATACAATTTACTAGTAAGCGAGTAGAAAAAAATGTGTAATATCACATAAGCCTCGTAAGTCAGTTGGTCGAGTTACCATGGAAACGAATTAACAGACGTTATTTTGACAGATTAAAAAATATTAATCTGTCAGTGTAAATATAGTGGTAATTTCATTTTTATTTTTATAAACGAAAATAATCGTAGAAAAAGTATAGTACACAACTTGAGTTGTAAGCTTATTATATGCTTGTAAAATTACTGCGCTCGCCGCTACGCGGCTCGCGCGCAACTTTTTTACTCGCATGTAATAAGCTTCTTACAACTCTCGTTATGTAATATACTATTATAAATTACTTATTAATTTTCAAAACACGTTTTTACAGAAAGTAACTAGTTATGACTTATTAGTGCAAGATATGGCATCGAGGTATACTTACCGTTAACAGTTTAAGTTTTGAAGTTGTTCATTATAGCGTTGATTGAATAACCCAAATTATTCAATCAACGATTATAGTAATGGAATAACGTTGCCATATGTTGCATCGTTAAAATATGATACAAACAAGTCCCCTGACTTTGTCTCATGACGACATGCGCAAAGTCGATCAAAATTAGAACGGCAAGTGAGCATATCTTGTTTGTTTATAGTATCATGGAAAAAATATAACAATATTTCTCCGTTTTTATTTAGGCGTGTGGTGTGTTACATGAAAGGGGTGGGATAATAATTATAATAAGATAGAAAAAACAAACAAGACGACTACCAAGCGCACACTACATAGCATCTTAGTTATTACTGAACGTATAGCGACATACAAGATATCCTGATACGACGATATGACGATATAATTGTTTTAAAGTTGGTATTGTACCTTTTTTGAAATTAAAACATAATATGCAACTCGATACACATTTCAAAAAATTACAATACCAACTTTAAAACAATAAATTACTTGTTCGTTGTAGATAAAATGTAGTATACAGCTCAAAATTTTAGTGAATCCCTATCCCTAATAATGTTACTTAATTCCCATCCCTAATACTTTACGTAGCCTCTGCTCAAATGCATGGCAGTGTAGATCTGGTGTTCTTCTGTCCTAACATCATGTTTTTTAATATAACCTGTATACCTACATGTTTTTTATGGCACGTTATATAAATTAAATGCACTATTCGTTTCGCCTCGTTTCCATCTTATATCGTATAAAAGTATATTCTTATAGAAGAATTCTGAAAATATTGTGGACAGAACACTTCACAAACTAAGAGGTTCTGAGAAGGATGAATAAAGAAATAGAAAATTTAAATACAATTAAAACAAGAAAATTGAAATCTCGGACATATTACACGTGGAGAGAAATACTCCTTGCTGCAACTGATTAGGCAGGAAAAGATCAAGGAAAGAGGAGCATAGGGAGGCGTAGAATGTCATGGCTGTGCAACCTGAGAGAATTGTACGGATGTTCATCAAATGAACTTTTCAGAGTAGCCATCTCAAAAGTCCGAATAGCTATGATGATTGCCGACCTCCGCCGCGAAGATGACAATTGAAGAAGAAGATTCTTCTCACCTCGTTTCCATCTTAATATAGTTGTTATAACATCCACTTTCATTTGCTATATCGCATGTTGGGATTTATCAGTTATTTATTTTGTGCTCAGACAAAGGCCTTCAAAAAGTGAACAAATCAAAATGTGTCTTATAGTAAATCTATTTTCATAGTTACATTTTAGTACATTAATAAAAAATATTGCTGTGTAGTGCCTTTTTGGCACAGAATACGATAATAAATATCACATTATACACTCCAATTGAACCAATAACAACGAAGATATAATGTAATGCCATTTTGTCAATGCCGCCATGTATGTTTTTTCTATCTCAACATATTTGCTATCCTCTCTCAAATACTCAAAAAGTGAACAGAATGAACCTTAGATTTTTTTAAATCTCCCCATATCTAAGGAAAAATTAAATTTCTGCTACATTCTAACACATTGGCTCTTACGGAAAGCGCTGTTGCCAGTTGTTGCAAAATGCTCCGTTGTTCAGAAGATCTGAGGAAAAGTATTATTGTAAGGCCGTACTGTCCTCTTAAGTCCTATAAGCCTACACTTTTCTATAAACTTATTTTGTTTTTAGGTATATCGAAAATGGAGATAGGCCATCAAGAAGGGAAAATCCTCACAAATATCTATTGTACAAACCCACGTTAAGTCACGTCTTAGTATTTTTAGCTAGTGGTTTTAAAGAACTACCCACCAATGGTGCTCTATTATTGTATTTATCCGCCGATGGATGTTTTTCGACTACAAAACATCCAGAAGATAGTAAGTATCAGTATAATATTGATTTAAGTAACATTGCTCTTTTATTTTAACACAAAAACCTATGAAGTCCGATTTGTATATTGTTTCTTTAAAAGTATATAAGAAGTGTCATAGATATATCGAATGTTGTAATTTCTAACTTAATTTTTAGTGGGATACGATCTTGGTGGCGTTCTAACTAGTAGCCGAAGAGACGGAGACCACAAAAAACAAAAAGAAGCTCACTGCCTTTACCCTGGTGATTTATATCCATTCACAAGAAGACCGCTGTTTGTCATCGTAGATTCAGACAATAGTTTCGTATTCCAACACATTCCTAGATATTTTGGACAACCGTTAGTTACTTTAATGTCACCTCAAGATACACCACCAGCTTTTCAAGGTAAGCATTATAGTTTAACTCCAAATGTGATCTAAAATCTGATCCAAAGCATGTCGTTTGCAGGCTGTTATCACTGCCAGAGGAGAGAATACACGTTTTTTTTTTATTTTATGCTCGGCAGTGTATGTCCTTATCTCTCATCCTTGTGTACACTGATATGTGAAATTAAATTTCACAGATGACTCTCTAATGTCTCGTACTTTTTTTAGTTATCTATTTATTAACATTTATCTTACAGCTTATACTTACTTTACTTTATCGTGTCCGGACATGTCATTCATAAATTTTTTGCCCAGTATCGGGCTACGTCGATTCCATCTTTGTTGGCGAGCCACAAATCTCCGAAGGTACATCGATGAGGACAGTTTCTGCATGTAAGATGTTCCATATTCTGTGTTTTACCACAGTCACAGTTCACATCATCTTGGTCGATTTTTCCCCATTTTGCCATGTTTGATTTTACTGGAGCGACCCCCGTTCTTATCCTATTCATAGTTTTCCACGTTTTAGGAACTGGCCGGTCTATTGAACCTGGGGAAGAGGAAAATACTCGGCGGTATATCCTGCACTGTTCCAAGGAAGCACAATTTATAAACAATATTTAAGACTATATTAACATTATAATTTTATAACAGATATATCTTTATGTCTAATCTATCTATCTAATTAGCCTTCTTCGGTCCATCTTTGGACATAGACCTCCCCAATCCTTTTCCATTCTTCTCTGTCTGTCGCTACAGTCATCCATCTAGAGCCCACGTGCTTCTTGATATCATCTGCCCATCTCATTTGGGGCCTTCCTCTGCTTCGTTTATATTTCCCACGGTCTCCAACTTATAAGAATTTTGTTCCATCGGTCTTCTTTTTGTCTTATATTGTATCCGGCAAATCTCCATTTCAATTTTGCAACCTGTTGTCTAACATCCCTCACTTTTGTTTTCTCTCTTATCCACTCGTTTCTCTTCTTATCCATTAGTCTTATGTGCAACATTTGTCTTTCCATTGCTCTTTGGGTTTTTATGATTTTGTCCATGTTTGCTTTTGTAAATGTCCACGTTTGGGAGCCATACGTAAGAAACAGGGAGTACTCATTGATTTTATACTTTGGTCTTAAGATGCTGTGGATATCTTTTGTTTTTAAGAATGTAGCTTAGTTTGTCAAATGCCGCCCATGCCAGTCTAACTCGTCTCTTGATCTCTGCTGTTTGGTTCTCTTTGTTAAGTTTTATAGTTTGACCAAGATATATATAATCCTTAACTTGTTCTATTTCATCTTGTCCGATTCTCATTGTGATGTCTTTATCTGTATTTGTTATAGTTTTGGTCTTGTTGTAATTTTTTATGTAATTATTTAAATTATTTTTTTATTTTTCAGATCAACAACACAATGGTTCTTTGTTTACATTATTTTTACATTCCCCATTAACCGCATTTTGTTACTGTTGCAATTTAACGACTATTCCAATACATCATTGGGAGAGATGTCAAAGTTTTGTTGATCGTTTCGTTACAGAAGCATCTCGCCTTTTCACTAGATCACGTGTTGGTAAGTTTCAAATTAGTACGTTCAAAATTAAAAATGAAGTATAGATTTTAACACTATTACATACTTGATAGACACATAACTGTTTACAGTTTAGAGTAATTTCTTCAAAAATAGTATAGAAGTATACAAAAAATTACGTACCTTAAGTACAGATTAAGTACAGTACAGATAAATAATAGATTTGAATATTGTTAAAATATTGAATTTATTTCCTATCTTTTTAAGTTTTTCCGATAATCGTTTATCCTTTTTGTTATATTTAAAATAACAATATCATCCATAAACAGATAAATGAGGGGTCCGGCAGTAAAAAATGGTAAGGGACAATTAAGAAGATTTGAGTTTTGAAGTGTTGAATTTTGAAAAAAATATTCTTATATTTTTTATTAAAAAATATAAGACTATGAATCATGCTAAACTTAGCTGATTATGTTGTTAATCAGTACGCAACATCTGAAATACCAAATATTTTTTTACAATGTTTATTGAAGAATATATGAAAATATGTTCTACAACTTAACATTATTTACCTAAAATATTTGAAAAAGTTTAACGTAACATGTTAAGTGGTGTTGACTTAACATAATTTGCTAGGCACTAGGAGTTTATTTTAAATTTATATACCATTCGTGATAAACAGCTGGAATCCATTCCAAGAATGATTTTACATCATTCAATTTTTCTGGATGAATACTAAGGGGATGATTATATTTTTGAGTAAGTGTAGGAAGTTTTTGTTCTGCAGCTGTTGGTCTTTCTTTTTTATTCAAGGACATGGAATTGAATAATCCGTTGTAGGTACTAGGAGTTTATTTTAAACTAATATACCATTCGTGATAAACAGTTGGAATCTATTCCATGAATGATTTTACAAGTTTCAGTTTTTCTGGATGAATACTAGGGGGATGATTATATTTTTGAGTAAGTGTAGGAAGTTTTTCTTCTGCAGCTGTTCATCTTTCTCTTTTATTCAAGGACATTGAATTAAATAATCCGTTGTATGATGCTGAATATTGAATATTTTTGGGAACTTCTGAAGATAGGCATTAGATAAGATTAGGCTAGCTTAGACGCTAACATTCTCTAGCGTGACCCTTTTTATAAAGTCTAGTAGCTTCGAGACTGTACCTTCCATGTAGCTATTTGCCAAATGGATTTTCTTCTCCTAATGCAGAGAATTGCACATGTGCCAGATTATCACACTGACATAAAACATGTCATGAAGATAGGCATAATTTCACACTACTTTATAAAATACCTACCGGTTGATTACAATTGCTTGTCAGTACTGAACAATCGTATATATCCTCTTGCTGGACCCTAGTTACTAGAAAAGATATATTTTTCTGACACTTCTTTAAAATAACTGTCCAGTGATTGGGCGAATAGACCATTTCACAGTTTTTCTTGACATAATTTTTTACAACAGAAAAGTCTCTGAGGAAATATATAAACTATTTCTCTAAAATTGTCATTTTGTAAAAGATAAAGCCAAAGATTAATGATGGTCCAGTTTTTATGTTGTCCGCAGCAATTGTCTGAAATAGCTATTAGTTTTCTGCTACGAATATTATTTTTTTCAAAGTACATTTTGAGACAGCTAGCTATTTGGTGTGGGAAGGGTTTGCTGTAGATCAAAATTTATTGCATGCATATCTTCTTTTAAATTTGCTTCTTTACTGGGTCTCTGACTGCCTGTTGACCTGCTTCAGCTTTTTTGTAATGTAATTCTTGTTTACTTGTTACTGAAAACTTATCACACACTCGACAAGTATCCATTTTTGGAGTTTTGAAACTTATATTATATTCTTCAGTAAATATTCTTCTGACTTTATCTGCAGAAACTGGAGTTTTCTTTTTTAAAATGCATTCTCCTACATATTTCTCATAACAAGTCTGAATAGAATATTAAATACTCATAATATATTGTCTAGAGCTGTCAGTACGGGTGTAATGGCTTTTGTATTTAGGTAAGCTTTCAATAAAAGATTTCAGAAAATCTATATCAGAATTGGAATATTTTTTAGGATGATTTGAATATCGACCTCTTAGATCCGATTTTGGAGTATTTGATCCAGTTTTTCATCCATCGTCTTCGATCCAACTCGACCTCGATTTTTTTGTAAGCCATGGATACTTAGGAAAGCCATTTTGCATACATTAACATCTTTTTCTTGTAATTCTATTTTATATTCAATATTTTGAGATCTTTTTGACACTAGTGCTTTAGTTTTTTTCCTAGTCACATTTTTAGATCTCATACAACCTTGTAAGTAAGCATTTTTTTGTGTCTCAAAACTATTCATGCCCCAAAAATTATCAACTATTGTCTGCAGTTCTTCATGAGATGCAAATAGCTTATAGCATTTATTGGGGTCAACTACACGGTCGACCTTGTGTTTTTGATAAATAATATTTCCCTTACCTCTGTATTTTTTATATTCTTTTCCGCGATTTCTGAGCTCTTTCGTTTTAAATTGCTTACTTAAGTTTTCTTTTTCTAGATTTTGTTTCTGAAACAGAATCTTCTTTTTCTTGTTTACTGTGTTCATTTAATTCTTCTCTATTTGCTTTTTCCTTTATAAAGTTTGAAGTTGTATCGTCTACACACCCCATTATCATTCACCGCTACATATATTTGCCTTTTTTACTTTTTTTTTAAACATCATAACATGTTGCATTACTTTTTGAGCCCAAGTCTCTGATCCATATGCTAGGACTGGGCGTATTATTGTTTTGTAGAGTTTTACCTTTGTATTTTTCGATAGATTGGAGGTTGTGAAAGAAATTGAGCCCAAAAAGGGTCTGTTAGCCCTACAAATTCTGTGGTTTATCTCTGCAGTAATATTATTTACAGTGTTAACGAGCGCACCTAGGTATACAAATTCGTTCACTGCTTCAATGATGTCGTGCTTAATGAATCGTTTCTAGCATAGTAGGGGGGAACTATAATGACATGAAAGAGAACTCACCCCATCAACCCCTAGGCCCCACCCACCACAACCAAAAAAGTTTAAATTCCAAGCCCCTACTTGTGATACATCATTGAAAAGACTATAAAAAATGCTATCCAATGATATAAATAATAATTATACAGTGACGCATAAATTATGAAACTTCGGCTTAAATGGAAAATTTAATGAGGTTTTTGTAACTACAAATTTGTTAAAAATGTCAATTAAGTAAATGTTCAAAGTGGGTTGCATTGTTTTTTAGACAATAATGCAGCCTATTTTCAAATTCTGCACAAACTTGCAAATGTTGTTCTAGTACCAGTGGGACATGCTTTCCCGCAAGTAAAAAATAAAATGTCCTATAAAACTTAATATATCTAGTTAATAAATTTAATAATTTAAACCTAAATATTTAAACCTAAATTTAGCATGTGCTAAATTGCAGTTTTATGTATTGGTACTCATCCAATTGATACAAATGTACACAAGAAAACCTTAATTACCCAAAATCAATTATTATCTTAATAGTTTACTAGAGAATAAAGGACTACATTTAATTTTTGTTCAATTTTCAGAATCTTCATATCTTCAATTCTTCGGTGATGATTTCCTGCGCCTGTTGCTACTTCGGTACGTGTTCTGTGACGTGGTATTACACTTACACAGAGCATTTAAAGGTCGCCAATACCGTCCCAGATGTCAGCCTCCTTTACCTGAAGCCGAGTTACTGGAGCATCCTTCTCTTCAACACCTGGTGTTAGATCTTGCGGCCCACCTTGAAGTGCGAACTCACTTCATGGACGGGCACGAGGTCGAATGATCCAGGGCGTCGTCCTCATGGCCATGTGTGGGGTTTAGTAAAAACTGGACATCATCTTCACGGCATATCCATGAGGATGGATGCGAAGCAAAAAATAGGTCTTTGATTCGTATAATAATGTTGATTGCCTTCGCCGTAGTGGTTTTGCTTACAAACACGCGTTTTTTGTGGATGATTGTAAGAGCTTTGAATTTTTTTTGGACTCTTTACACACTTTATGGCAGATTAGTTTGCAAGTACCTGCCTGTTTTGGAGTTAGTCTGTCTGGTACTTATCGATAAAAAGCGCAAATTAGAATATGAAGGGTCCTTTGGGACATATCTTAATTCGAAACATTCAATTTCGGTGATATTGTTCACATAGCTCAAAAACTGAGCACGTTGTCTTTCAAAAATTCCGTTCATATATCGAATTAAAGTAATGAATATACACCTTTTGGACATTACTACAAAGTAAGTACATACTTTTTTAACATTACCATTATGGGGCCAGTCTTTATACTTTGGTAAGTTGCTAATTGTTATACTAAATTATTTCGATCAACTCATTTTCGAGGCAAATATTTGTATACTCATTTTATTTCTGATAAATATATGTTTTTTTATTTTATTCATCCACTTTTGGATATTAGGCAACGGAAATAAGCAAAAAAAGTACCTACCCTATTGGTGTAAGCGGCAACAACATTCGCATTTGTTGTAAAAATCCTCTTTTCCAATCTAAGCATTAATGTCTCCTAGTACAATGATAACATCTTCTTTGGGTATTTTCATCTTTTTTTCTACCTTATCATAAACCATTTCTTTTTCACTGGCTTAACACACTGATATGAAACGGTTTATTATTTATTCTCACATACGCAATTCTTTCACATATTGTTTTGAAGTGTATGACTTGTCTCTTAGCTGTCTTAGTAGAGGAGAGCGGGGTAATGGCGTCACCTTAAGAGATCATCATTTTTTGTAACTTAATTTTGAGATGAAAGAAATATGTAACTATGCTAGCGATTTAAGAACTAAGTTTTTAACTTAAATTAGTTTTTAGAATTTTTCATTCGACTTAATTAAGTGACAATAAACGCAACACTTTTTTGTGTAACGTGACAGCATTGCCCCAGGCCTAGGGAGTAATGGCGCCTCCTACTGAACTGAAATGATGGATAAGACTTTTCTATAAAACATGTTCTAAGCAAATATCTTATTGAAATCTTATTTGGAAACACAAAAAGATAACAGTATAATGAATGATAAATGAAAACATAACCCAAAAACAACCTACTATTCTATTCACGGGCAGTGTATTTTGCCAGTGATGAGTGATGACCTACGGCGCAGAAACCCTAACATTCACAAGAACAACAGTGAGTAAACTACAAGTTGTGGAAAGGACAATGGAGAGAATAATGTTAGGGATTTCTTCACGTGATAGAATACCCAATGTTTATACGCAAAAGATGAGGAGTAGCAGACGTTATTGAAAGGATAACAACACTAAAGTGGAACTGGGCAAGTCATGTAGCAAGATCAGTTGATGACCAGTGGACAAAAAGAATTTTGGAATGGCGACCCCGAATACAAGCTAACAGAAATAGAGGTCGACCACCAACGAGATGAACAGAAGACATAAAAAGAGTGACTGCAAATTGAATTCAGATGGCGCAAAATTGGACTAAGTGGAAAAGCATGCGAGAGGCCTATGTTCAGCAGTGAATGTTAAAGGCTAGTTGATGATGATGATTCTATTCACAGAAGTCACAAACATAATTTTTGGCACTGTCTTTTTCACTGCATTGAGAATGTGAGTGATTTTTTGATGAAAATTTGTTTTCATAAAATTATCACACTCCTTATTGAACGCTTTCTTAAGAGGTCCGTAGAAAGATACATCTAAGGGCTGAAGTATGTGCGAGGAATAGGGTGGAAGCGACACAACGTGAATGTGGTTTGAACGGCAAAAGTCATAACATGGCAAAGAAATATGGGTTCCATGATTATCCATTAATAGAAGGACAGGGACCTCTTCACTTGATTTAGTGGTTCTCTTGAAATATTTCAACCAATCTAAAGATAAATCTTCGTTGGACTACCCATTGTGTGAACATCTATAAATGGCTTCAGGAGGTCCCCCTCGCTACAACAAAGGTGACATCCATCTCCTTGGATAAATAAACATTGGGGGCGGATATATTCCTAAAGCGCTCACGTCACACACTGCAGTGATATTCTTGCCACGCTCTCAAATCGTAACTCCTAGCATTTGCTTCTGTCTCTTGTGCAAGAATTTTTCTCGGTTATTGTACTGTGGAAATTCCAATTTCGTCCATATTATGAATACAGTCCGGTGGAAAGTTAAACTTTGTCATTACAGTGTCTAAATTTTTGTAAAACAAATCAACTTCGTCTTTATTAAATGCTTAGACCTGTTCAAGCTTGTGGCTTTCGGTTTTGTTAAACTAATTTTATGCCTGCTAATAAACCCATTTAACCAATCTATCCCGGCCAACTTGGTCTCTTTGCTAAAGTTGTGTTTGATTTGATATTTTTCGGCCAATTCGAAAGCCAGTCGTCTAGTTCATTTGTAGTGATGCCATGAAATAGTTTTGATAGGCAACCACATGCTCTGCTAAGTTTTGTTCTTGCTCTACAGAAAAAAACGCATTTCCGACCCAATCTTGGCTTACTTCCATCGTTTGCCATTAGCCCATACCTTAATGTTGTTTGGGGTACATATGTAGCTGCTTTTTTTTGCGAGACACCATTTTGGCGAACTGCTTCAATAGCATTTTTGAGGTTTTCCTCCTTCCACATAGCCTTTTCTGTTGTTCTTTTACGTGATCGTACCATCTGAAAATCACAAAAAAAAATGCATTGTTAACCTTTCATTTCAATAAGAAAATACGGGGCAATACCGTCATGGCAGCATTAACCCGAAGTAAAGTGACGGAATTGACCCATCGAGAACAACATGGTGGATGTATCACTACATACTACAAACAATAACCAAACATTTAAAAGAAATCTCACCGAAAAGTATCTAAGGTATCATATTCTTAAAGGACATATTCAACAAACCAGTTAAGAACCTTATTATCACACTTACCTTGAGTTATAAATACGGCAGAGTAAGTAGAAATATGAAACTATAACGGTTTTACTGATATTCGCACGAACTAACCTTGAAAGCGGCAATAGCTGTACTGATCAAAACACGCTCAATCGGAAGCTATGTCTCAGCGTTAGTCAGGTGCGTGCAGGACTAATATTTTGTGAAAAATACTCGGTGACGGAATTGCCCCGTATGATGGCATTACCCATCGAGTTAGAATTAAACTCGAGTACCCATGAACTATGAACTAAAGATAAACCCACGCGCACGCGATCAGTCATCTTTTGCACGTGTGACGTCACTTGGCGACAAATATCACCAGAAATGTTGTGTTTTGCATGAAGTTTTGTCAGATTTAGTATTGTTTTATCGTTTATCTAGTACGTTGACAAATTAATGTGTGCATTTTATATAAAATATATTTCAGAATATTAAATTAAAGATAAACTTTTATTGCCAAGTGACGTCATGCGCATCGACGTACAAAATTCGATTGCGAGGTGGTTTTATCTTGGAAGTCATAGTATGATGGCATTACCCCGTCCTCCCATATCACGAATTCCACTTCTTTTTTTCCTTGCTTCTGCGCTCCTGAGTATAACATTGTAAAGTTCTGTTTATCAGTACATCCTTGCCCTCCCAACTTAATTCTTGCAGTGCTACAATATCGATTTTATACTTTTTGAGTTATTTGACTATTTCTAATATTTTTTTTCTAATATTTCTATTTCTATTTCTATTCTTAATTTCAATATTTCTAAAATAGTTATATTTCAGTTATTTTTGTGCTGATAATAAATTAATTTTTCTTTTGTTGTTCTAATTTTATAGATATTATTTAATATTGCTGTAATTACGTTTTTTTTCAGCTTTTCTTACACTAATATTAACAGTTATATTTTTCTATATACACAACAAACAAAATCACTATCAGAACTATCTCGTATTAGCTCAAAATTTTAAATTATTAAGCCGATTTATCACAGGTTTGTTCACTTGCACTAGAGGTGGGGATCGAAGCTTACATATACACTGCTTTTTCGGTGAGAAAAGCATTTCTCTTTTAATAGGGTACCTATTGTTATAAATCAGCCGACTAAAAAGATCTAACTTTGCTTGTCTAAACTGAATTGATTGAATATAGAGAGCCGATGATTTACTTCTGTTCATACCAAAAGTATAAATACTGGCCACTCAACTTGTTCTCGTCACCCCCAGTCCTTTGTATTATAAAATCTTTCATCTTTCTGAATCAGTGACCAACAGTGATGAAAAAAAGCCTTCTCGTGCCGATTACGATAGTAAGTATTATTTAATAATTATAAAACATTTGAGTGCATGATACTAGAATTAGGATGAAACAATCTATATACTACACTTTTCAAATCTGGACATCTCAAAAATTTATATACCTACACATTTAAAGTAACTAACAGATGGATTTTCAGACAATATATTGTCAGGATCAACTTCTATATACAAAAGATTAAAACATTGCATTAAAATTTAATTTGATCGATAAATTGATTAAGTTGATTTCTTTGCTATCATTTAGTTACAACATTAAACTCTATAATAAAAATATTTCCTTTACACGTCACAATGAAGTTTTTGCAAAGCGCTGTTGCCAAAAAACCAAATAAAACCATTTCTAAAAACAACTTACTGGTTTTGTAATAAAGTCCCCAAATCATCATAAATAAGCACATACTATAACTAATTTTAATGGACTGCCAATGCTAAAAAAATATTCATTTTGTTATAAAAAAAAATTCATACACTAGATATGGAGGTTAATATAATCTAGTAAGGTTAGAATAGCAAATAAAGTTTCAACATTGTAGGCACTAAATTCTGAGAAATGATAACTAAGTTTTAACGACAACACTGTTGCC